AGTGCAGAAATGCCAAAAGCCATGAGATGAAGAAAAATGATTATATCTCTCGAATATTTTAAAAATTTAAGACATAGAATCAGAGAAGCGAGAGAAACAAAAAAGAATGGAGATGCTTGAAAAGCTAAAATGCCGTGGAATGCTTTACCTAAAAAGAAGACAAAACTCCAATATCCAGACTGTATCAGCAGTCATATAGTATTCAAAGAAAACGTATGTGAAATTAAATGTACAAAGTTAATTAGGGTAGGTAACTTAAAAGTATACCTCCCTCATGTTGCCTTAATTCTAATTAAAAATGAAAGTAAGGGTACATCATTATCAAAAGTACAGAGAGATAATCAAGGGCTAAGCATAGCCTTTAAAAATATAGGCAAACCCTAACTCTAAGCAAGAAACCACAAGTAAAGAAAAGCTTGGGTAGCATCCTTATTTCCCCAAAGTAGTTTACCCTAAATGGGATTATGGAGCAGGCTACTGATGAAGCTGCCAACCTAAAAGGTATCTATCAATCAGCAAACTTGAACCTTGAATTATTTTATGAGAAGTATTGCAATATTATGATGAGGGCCAAGAGCATGATATTGAGAAAAAGCTGGAGGGTAGGAATCTGTTAGCATTGCACACAATACTGTCTTCTGGAAGATAATATTTAGGTATTAGAAAAATGTATTGGAAAGGATCACAGGTTTTTACATATCTAAGAAAGCTATCTATCCAGACCATACTATTTCCTGTGTAGATTTCATACTTATCAGAACAACCTATTGATAATGAATTAATCAATAACTATAGTACCTCAAAGGATGGCCCCCAAAATACACAATAATATCTTTCACTAGAAAGGTACAGCCTCCTTCCCTCCATACACACCTAGAGTATTAGAGTATTAATAATCTTACTTTGAAATCCAAATCAATCTTTTGTAAAATTTGAAAGGGTGTGAGCTATCTCAGAATCTGATTACTCAAGGATGCATAGAACACTGAGACTCCAGGCTTATAGGAAAAACTGACCCTTGTCAAGGGTCTGCTGGTAAACTGGCTTCCCCTTCTACCCTCCCCCTCAAAAAAAGATAAAAGAATCCCATTATGGCCAATTTCAGGCTACCAATGGTTTAACTACTCGCTAACAAATTCCTAAATATTTAACAACTGGCCCTCACTGGTACAAACTAATCCCAACACCTTCCTGGGTCCTGTGAAGTCCAACCTGAAATAACAAGCCTCCCTTTTTATTATATTTTACTAATCTATTTTGGTCAAGGATGTCTAATACCTTCCACAAAACAGAATCTTGTCTCCACCCTGGACTATTTCATAACGGCTCAAGCCAATCTTATCTTCCTGACCTCTTAAGAACCTACAGACACTTCCACTATGCTGTGGCCTTCAGATGGAAACGAACTTAAAATGGCTGGTGAATCCGCAAAGGCTTTCCGTATCCAAAGGAAACTGTATATTTTGGTTTATCATTGAAAAAAAAGAAAAGGGGCCTTAAAAAGTCTATTTTTTAAAAAAGGAGGGAAGGTGAAGTAAAAATTGGTAAAGCTTACTATGTTTCTCCCAGTAACACCTGGCTGGGCAGAATTGAATTCCTTATAAACTTCAAAAGGTTTAATGGCTTACGCTCAATATCCCTTAAATCCCTTAATACCTCATTGTTATTCCATCTGTGACTACGACTAGATATGTCTCTATAAAAGGAATATATTTATATTTTTACTTAATGCCACTCACTCCTTGTGGAACTATATGTCCCATAAACCTACTTCTCATTTTATAAATTAGAATTATCTTATTTCTTCATACTCTAAGAACAGCACAATTGAGTCCTACTAAGCCAGGTGTTGATGAAGTTGTTGCTCAGACTTTTCAGGCCTTTTATTAATGTAATTAAGCATATGAACCTTTTATTCTTTAACGTCCTCCATATTCTTTTAATTTACTCCCAATTGCAAACTGCTGCTTGCACACAGCAAAGAGTAGTGAGACATGACAAGACATTCTACCCCTGCGTGTCTGCTTCTCTAGCTGTAAAAACAAGGCTTTGACATTATTTGATAGAATACAGAAATTCTCTAGTGATACACGCACCCTATATGTCGGGTAAACTGGCTTCCCCTATTAGCTTATGCTTGGTTTTCCAGATCTGGGTTCAGGACCCTGATTTCAACTGGACATTTCACAGCAACACGTGAACAGCTAAACAAATAGAGTCCGGATTCCTGAGACCAGAAGGCTGGGGTAAACCCGCTCTATTAGAACAGCTACTCTCTCCCAGGTCCCACCAAAGGGCAAAGAGGAGAAATGGGAGAAATTCCTTACAAGAAATCCACAACTTCTAGACACTTGCAGCCTGTACAGGACACACTTACCTTTCACAGCTTAAGAATTACTTCACATCCGACAGCGGAACTGACTGGCTACATTTGCATTTTGGGAAATGTAGTTCACAAAACTTAAATGATGCAAGGGAAACTACAAGTCCCACAATTCTCTACGTATCACTATTGAGGGTCTCATATTTTCCAGTAGCGCCCGCTCCCTGTCAGCATTTCCTGGTCAGAAGTTTTGAACCTCGGTTCGCGATTTGCGGCTCTCACCTAAGCCAATTTATTATCTTCTCTGAGAGAGGTGTTTACAACTTGCCGCCAAAGTCCTGAATGCAAAATTGTGCATCCAAACAGCGCTGACTTAGGAATTCATTCTCTTCTAAGATAGAAGCTTTAAGAATGGGTCTAGATTTAATTCACCCTCAACTTCAGTGTTTATGATCCTTTCGACTTACCGTGACAGAATCAAGTTCCCTACCTTGCAGTGAGTGGGTTGTCAAGAAGCACATTCACAAGTGCCTGAAAAGTTGATGTTTTTACATATTAATGAACAACTCAAGCCGAATCTAATATACAGGAATTAATGTGTTTACGCACTTGGCCTCTCCAATTTCATTCTCTATCTTGCGTTTTTATTAAACAATGCCTGGGTCTCACTCTCAGAGATCGATTTAATTGGTCTGGGGAGATGCCTGGGCATCAAATCGGTTTACAAACGTCCCAGTTGTCTCTAATGTGTAGCCTGTGAGAACCGCTGCATCAACTAAATAAGACATCAGTCAACTTGTGAATGAGAGTATAATCAAAGGGCAGCTAACAGGGAACGTGAAGACCACCTAAGGAACCACTTCCCCCAGTTTAAAATGAACTGAAGCCTGGAGTAGTATGGAAACTGGGGTCAGTGTTTTACTCCTGGTCCTCTCATTGAATGTATGGAGGTAAATATTGGTAAAATAACCCAGTTTAGTAGTGTGGGAGCAGTACTTCCAGCAACAGCTGGGATAGGTCACTTATTTGGGAGAATGACCTGACATGACAACCTTTTGTGCCTCCATTAACCTGTCCACAGTGGCTGAAAAAAGGACCAATATGTAGACTGGGAACTTTTACTGTCAAAAAATGTTGTAATTCAGAATGTTTTCTACACACATGGGGATTTGATCAAAACCTACGGAAATGCCCAAGCAGTGACATTCCCTCCGACCCCAGACAAATTTTATTATGAAAAATTTCAAATTCATATTATTTTTTCAGTTCTCTAAGTGGCATAAGCATTATTAATAGAGACCGACTAGGAATATATGACTATCGTGCTTTTAGGCACCAAAGAATCTCATGTTCAGGAAGAAATTAACTGAGTTTTCCATTTTTCTCATAATGCTGGAAAGTCATCTGTGGAAGGTCAAGTCATCCAAGACAGCTGATGAAATACACGCTTTCCCTTGATAGCTACTGACAGGGTATAATGAGCCACCCAATCAGTACAATCTCAAGGACTGAGAAGTCTTCTTATTTCTCCTAACCAGAAATTACTAAGTCTTTGATTGTAGCAAAGTAAAATAATCTAAATTAATCGAATTGCTAGTGTTTTCTTTTTTCTGCTGGTTTTTCTAACCTTGGCACTTATGGCTGTGAAAAAAAAATTAACTATACACATCAGCATCAAATAGCCTTTTAAAAATGTTCATTTTTGCATCTAAATGATGACTACATGAATATTCATGGAGCAATACCTTGAATGTTTCATGTTTAAAATTTTTTATAATAAAATGTTTGGGATAATGTCATTTTCTTAGAGACTACTAATGAGTAGCATCTTAATGAGTAGCAAAAAGCAAAAGTACTTTGGAGAATATAGTTCAGGGAGGAAAAAAATCCAGATATAGTTAGTTTACTAACAACTTTCCACTTGCAGAGAGAAAACAAGCAATGAGAGAGTTACTTCAAACCTCATGAACTGTGGACATTTCTGTAGAAATAGCCTTTTTCTTTCAGCCCCTCCCCTCTGAATTAGGATGCTCACAGAAAACTCTTTTGTTTTAAACATAGAATTACCATATCATCCACTTCTAGGTATATACACACAAAAAAATTGAAAACAAGAATTCAAACTAATACTTGTATGCCAATGTTCATAGAAGCATTATTTACAATAGTCAAAAGGTGGAAGTAACGCATGTCCTTCAAAGAATGAATAGATAGTAAAACTCCACACAATCGACTATTAGTCATAAAAAGGAATGAAATTCTGACATATATACAACATAGATGGACCCTAAAAACATTACACTATGAAACAAGCCAGACACAAAAGGTCAAATATTGATGGTTCCGCTTATATGAGGTACTTAGAATAATCAAATTCGTAGAAACAGAAAGAATAAAGGTTGCCAAGAGCTAAGGGAGGGAGGAAACGGAGTTAGTGTTTAATGGGTATAGAGTTTCAGTTTGAGATGATGAAAAAGTTCTGGAAATGTATACCGGTGATGGTTGCAAATAATGAAAATGTACTTAATGCTACTTAACTATACACCTAAAAATGGTTACACTGGTAAATTGTCTGTGAGGTATATTTTGGCACAATTTAAAAAAAAAACCTCTTTTGGAGAGCATAGTTACACTGTGAATCCGGAGCCAAATGAGTAAATAGCCCATTTCTCATTGCCCAATTCATTCTCTGAATTGTTATTAGCATGTTTCCTCCCATAATGCTTTGCTTCATGCTTCGCCAAAACCTAGTTAAATGAAACCCAGCAGGAGAATCTTCGGAAACAGCCTATGTATTTCTTAGAGATCTTCATATGGTCATATAATTTTGAACCAAACAATAATTGAAGGTTTTTCCATGAGACTCAAGATCGCCTTTCTGAAATAGGAACCTTGCTTATAGGGAGTGATGAGTAGGGAGGAATGGAGGTTAGCTTTGCGCAGTGGCAGTATCGTAGCCAATGAGGTTTATCCGAGGCGCGATTATTGCTAATTGAAAACTTTTCCCAATACCCCGCCGTGACGACTTGAAATATAGTCGGCATTGGCAATTTTTGACAGTCTCTACGGAGACTGAATATATGAGTTGGAAAAATAGAACTTTTTTTCTTTTTTTCATTGTATTTTTGTCGTTTGGATTTCTGAGTGTATTACGAGTACCCACGTGGTATTCACAAAGTTACCTTTTTCTCTATATCTCGGGTTAGACATATCTGTAGGACTTGAATTTATTTGATTTCAACTTCGTAGCTTGGTTTCTCAAATACCTGTCCTCCTAGATCTGTTTTGTCCACGCTGCGTTTTTTCTACTCGCCGCCCAAGCTTTTCAGATTTTAACTCTGAATGTGCCCCCTCTGGCTCCCGTCTGCTGTTTACACACCCTGGCCTTTAGCTATTCATCCTTTTTCGGTTCACCCTCGTTTTCCTTGCCTTCCAACGCGCAGTTTCTCAAAATTCAAGTCAATCCTGTCATCTCTGATGTCACGTTGATTTGCATAAAATTCCCCAGCATCCACAGCGAATGTGAGCTCATTTCCAAATTTTGGCTGTTCGACACGAAATGATCCAACAACAAGAAGCTTCCCATGCGGACGGACCTTAAGTATAACTGCTCGAAAGGGAACGCGTCAGATCCACGAATTCCCTGGGAATCGCTCACCCTTTGTGTAAAGGCCGTTGTCATCTGTCGGGGGGCGGAGTGCGTGCTCACGCTCTCCAGCTTTGCGCAGTGGCAGTATCGTAGCCAATGAGGTTTATCCGAGGCGCGATTATTGCTAATTGAAAACTTTTCCCAATACCCCGCCATGACGACTTGAAATATAGTCGGCATTGGCAATTTTTGACAGTCTCTACGGAGACTGAATTTTATCGGTTTGAAAAAAAGTCAACATTGTTAGTTGCTTCGTAATTTTGGCGTGACCTGGGAACATTGTGTAAGTTACAGTTCAAATCTACCTTTCTTTGGTAGGATTTTTTTGTGATATAAGTTTAGTCTTACACGGTGGGCGTGGCATTCGGTGCTTAAAAAACGCGCTGCTCTCTCCTGTATTTTGGAGTGTACCCCGTAGGCCCCCCGCTGCAGAGAGTGTTCGCTTGGTTGTAATAATTTTCGTAGCGATTCTTTACCTAAAAGCTCGCAATTGGCAAATGGCAGAATCTACCAGCAACCCCATCCATAGAATTACAAATTCGCAGACATGGAAAGGAATATGAAAGCATCTCATCCAAGTGTTTCCTTTTTAAAGCGACCAGGAGAGAAACAAACGGAGCAGACTCGCTCAGGTCCCATTGTGGAGTTCCGGGCAGAGCTGGGCTTGGAACCAAGTCCTCTTACCCCTAGTGGTGCGCTGGTTTCTGCTATACCGGCTGCCTCTAGCCTTGCCCTGTTAGGAAGGCCAGGAGTATCCCTGGATAGAAGACCTCTGTGCATGGCAGATTCAGCTGTGCCTGTTTTGGCCACCACCTATCAAACTCTCCTCTGGCCTGTAAGCAAAAGGATGTCATTACTAAGGGCGAAGATGATGGAACAGCATCTCAAGGTTCAAGGAGACACTGGGAGAAACAACCGGCCCAGTCCCTGCATTTTTTTTTTTTGAAATCGACTTTTTTTCCCCCACTAAATGTAATGTCCTTGGGGTCCTTATAGGCTGTCGCATGTATCAATAGTTCATTCTTTTCTCTTGCTGAGTAGTATTCTGTTGGGTAGGGGGAAATTTTCCCTTTACCCCCTTAGTTCCTCTGCCTGATTGAATAATTCAAATGTCACACTGCAGATTAACAGGAGAAAATCAAGTTTTAATACATGCATACTGGGAATTCACATAAGCATGAAAATTCCAAAGGCAGTAAAGAAAAAATGAGGCGTATATATCATTCTGGACCAAGGAGGGGGAAGCAGGGGTCTGGGACTTCAAAGAGGGTAAGGCGAATTTACAAGGGGATGAAAAGCGTTAATGTTTAGTAAACAAATGTTTACTGGGCCATCTTGAAACAAGGGGACACAAGGAGCACTTTGATCAAAAGGGCTTTGCTAGGTTCCTGCCTGTCTGTCATACCCAATTAAGGTCAAACTGTAGTTACCTATGATGATAACTCCTTTCCTGG